ATTCAGGAACGTTAGTGCGTTCATGCTGTGCTCTCACATGTAGGGAAGATGGCTGCCCTCTCGGTTGTAGAATGTCTGTGGAAGGCTGCTGTTAGGCCTCTACCCATCCCCAGGGGCATGCTTGCCTTTGTCTTCACTCCTGTGCCACTTGACAGAGCTTCTAAGAGAGAGGGGGGTTGGAGCAAGAGGTGCTCTCAGAAACTTCTTCCCTCTGTGCCCTGCCACCCTTGTTTCTTCCCCTCCGTTATGAAGGAAGAAATGCAAGCTAAGAAGCAAACTGCTGTGTGGGACCCAGTTGAACTGCAGATTCAGTGTGGGACGGGGCTGTGTCCTTGTTCCCTTCTTTTAAGGGCCGCAGAGAGGTGGTTCGACAGCAACTTCTGATGTTCAAGAAGGGACAATACAGGTTTTGAATTTTCTGAGTCGGGCCACAGGTACAATTCTGGTGTCCTTTCTCATATTTTAGAATTAGGGCTTGCTTGCTCATAGAAGAAATTAAGCCAGTTTTCCAGCACTAATGGCTGATATCCTAGAATAAAACTGGGTGAGAGAGAAACTCTGGAGTTACATCATGATGTCATCTTGAGGTAGGTATTTGGAGGTACTCTAGAGTGCCCCTGGTCCTTGGAAGTTCCTCTTTTTAAGCAGGTAAGCAGGGTAAGCCTGCTAGGAGACCGCAGTCAAGTTCAGACATGCTTTCATTTTTTTGTTTTCTCTTGTACAAGATTTGTTAGTACTATCACAAAATCACATGGAAAAGTTGCTTTTCATTATTAAGATGTTTGTGTATTTTCCCCTTGATCTTGTCTTCTGGCTGTGTGTCCATAGGAAGTGGATCATGTTACACTAGGAGCCAGAAGACTTTGCTGGCTACTACTTTACCGTAAGGCCAGGGAATGGACTGATGGGTGCCATCTTGCAAGTCATTAAAAAAAAAAATCCTTTTAGGGTCTGGGAAGTGAGCTTGCTGGTTAAGAGCACTTGTTGCTCTTGGAGAGCCCTCAAATTCTGTTCTAAGCATCCAACATGGTGGCTCACAACCGTCTATAATTCCAGTCCCAGGAGATCCATGCCCTCGTCTGACTTCTATAGGTGTCAGGCACCCTCATGAAGCCTAAAACACATGTAAACAAAACACTTATACACAAAAGATAATAAAATGAGCACATCCCTTTTAGAAGGAGCCTTGAACACAGACTCGGAGAGGTCAGTTTTTGGTTAAGAAGCATATCAGAACCTCGGATAGCTCTGGGCATGCAGGTTTAGAAGGTCTGGGTGCTTCCTTCACACACTGGGCAGTGGCCAGTGGCTACTGAACACAGGTCATGAACCACCTTCTTCTCCCAGTATACATTCCATTTACCTGTATCCATTCTTCTTAAGTGAGTGTTTGAGCCTAACTAGCCTTTATTCTTAGACTGCTTTTGTTATTGCACATTAATCCCTCAAATGACTTTTTATTGGTGTCTACTTAGCTATTTGTTTAGGTCTTAGAGATTTGTATATTTCTCTAATCAACTCCACTGGGCTTTTAAAGACTATTAACTAACAACTTCAAATGTCACAACAACAGTCTTGAACCTCTGATGTATTAAGCCCTGCCTACAAGAAAGTTATTAGAATATTTAAAAATAAAGCCACTAGGTGCCTGCAACCACTGCCCTGTTTGATTGCTTGCCTGGCCAATGTCTTCCACTGTGAGTGTGCTACAGGAATACACAGTCCTCTCTTCCCTTCCAAGTGTTTCATTTTGTTCTTAGTGATTGAATCTTCTCTAGAACAAAGACCCCAAATAGTAACTGTCAGTTAGCACTGCCACCAGCCTGGGATGGGATTCCAGTATTGCGGTTTGTGTTTGTTCGTTTGTTTGCAGCTGCAGGACTATGTCAATATTTTGAGAACTTTTATGTGAACAGGGAGTAAAGATGCTGTGTAGACTTGAAGCTTCTTTCTCATTGCCCCTCCTGTCATACGCACCACATCCATCTTGTGTTTAGCTAAAAGAAAGTAGGAACTTGTTGCATTTGAAGGAATTATGAAAATATATCTAAGACAATTTGATTTCTTCGTATTGATATATTTATATTTGTATGTTGAGGTATAATAGAGGTTTTCATTGCTGACCTGTAATGTGGTCTTGTGACAGATAAGCCAACAGCAGATGTAGTTCTGTTGTTATTGTGTGTATGTTCCCGCAAACAGACATTTAAACAATTCCTGCTTGTTCAGTTTCTCTTCCCTTAGAAATGAAAATGTCATTGGTCATTTCCAAAGACCACTGAGGTCACGACCTGTCACAACACGTTCCCAAAGTGTTCTGTGAGCCTTGGAATCGAAGCAGCTGGACAGGGTAGCCGGAGCAGGGGCAGAGAATTACCATCCCCATGAAATGACTGTGACTCTGCTCCATGAATAGTTTAGTATCCAAACTGAGGGAGGTGCAACTTTACATTTTATATAGTCTCAGGTGCTCTCTGTTCTTGAATATCAGCAGTACCCAACCCCACCAGCTCAGCAGTCTCTGAAAAGAGCAGCCCCGCAGCTGCACCCCATCCCAGTCCCAACTGTGTCACAGGTATTCCTGAGGGCAAATTAAATTCTTCCAAACTCTTTGCTGTCTTCTTTGACTAGAGTTGATCATTTTCTTCAGATGTATTTTGTGTTCTTCATTTTAGGATCCATCGTAGTGTTCTTTCTTGTTAGTACATATGTGACCCGAGCCTATGGTTTGCCGCCGTCTTTATTTCAGAGGTCTTCCTTGGTTCATTAGCAAAAATAAAGTAGAGCAGACTTTATGAATGGAGACACAGCTAGATCTTCCTTCTCTGTAGAGTATACCACTGCCTCCTCCCCTGACCAAAGTTTGAGCATTCTGCTGTATTTACTCCTCACGAGAATTAGAAAGCAGAGCGTCCTGTATTCTAGACATGGTTTTAAAAATATGTCTTAGTGTTCAGAAGACTTAGTCTTAGGGAGTGACTAAAACCTTTTATATTTTCTATCTCCTTTTCCCCAGATAAAGATTCCAGCATGGCTTATTTAACAAAGCAGTCATGTAGCCACAGGAGACAAATCTGTATCTAGCTTAGTATGTCTAAACCTGCACTGGTTGGCATGGTTTCCAGCGAAGTGTGTCTGAATGGTCAAGGTTAGAGACATTTCCAGGTATTGGGAGGCCGCATTTTAACAGGAAGGAGGTGTTGATTGGCATTCCTGTAATTTGAATTTAAGAGTTAGAATGAATGTCTTGAAATAAATTCAAATTACTCAGAGATGTTTGCCAGGTAATAAGATTTTTTTTAATTTATCTTATTGTGTATATATGGGCTTGTAGCTTTCTAAACCCTGAAGAGAAATGGAATAGTTTATAAAGTAGAAGTTGAGGTGACTAAAACCTTTTCTTTCTGCTTTAGTACAATAGGCAGCTTGCGTAGGCGTACTTGACTTCCCAAAAAAGCAAAACGTCATTATCTTTCCTATTTGTGTGTGGAATGATCTCTATGTAGTGCTCCATTTTCAGTTTTGGTCTGTGTTTGTTCATTCTGTCAATATTTTTAATGAGGTTTTGAATAGCTCAGAGGAATCTCAGGCTGTCGGGGTCAAGAGCTTTGTCATGCAGGACTCCGTGTTCTTCTGACCAAATCATTTTATACCGCGCCTACTTTATTGTAGGATGCCGAAGCATTTGCTCTTCCTCTTTTCGTGAGTGTCTGATTAGCCCCATCCCTCCTATCAATTAAAGGAATGCCTCATTCCTTCCCCACTGTCAGCGTAGTCTATTCAACAGAGCAGAGTACCATTGTTTCTGAGTATATGTGGGAAATCAGTTCCAAGAGATGCCATGGATCCCAAGACTTGGAGCTGCTCAATTCTTTCTATAACATACTATGGTATTTGTAGTAATATGTGCACATCATCTATATCTTACTTAGGATGCCTGCCATATAAATACTGCACAAATAGTTATATTCTTTTGCATAGAGAATAATGGATGAGGAAAAATACCAGTTCAGTACAAGTGTATTGTTTTCTAAATAGTTTTAATCTGCGGTGGGTTGAATCTATGAATGCTGAAACCATGGATACCGAGGGCATTGACCTTGATGTTTGTTTGTTTGTTTCCTTTAGCTAGGGACTATGCTTAGGTCGTATTTAAAGGAATGTAGTGTAGTTTGATGGTTCTACAATGGGTCTGCAGATCCCTGGGGACCCTTCAGAAATCTGTGGCATCAGACTATTTTCAGGACCTTGTGAAGATGCTACCATGTCCCCTTTTATTGTGCCGGTTTGCACTTACTCTGTAGAAGCATTGGTGAGCACCCTTGATACCTCAGTCAAGGAAGGCCATGGCTTCAGCTGGCTAGGTTGTCAGGTAGCTGCTGTAGTCCTCACTGCTTTACAGTCTCAGTTTGATAAAGAACTTGCTTTCTTCACTGTCTAGACCAGTGGCTGATGGATAACAGGAGGGAACACACTCGGCACATACTGTGGAAAGAATGAATGATCTTACTCGTCCTTCTTCCACTCCCTCCCTTCCGCCTCCAAATCTTGCATTTCCTAGATGTATTTCCTCTTGTGTCTTCTCCTATCCTATCCTTTCCCAGATTGGCCCATACTGTTATGTTTCTATTTCTGTGAAATGCTGTTGTTTGCGGAGCATTTGTTTACATCTGGTGTTATGGATGCAGGTGGTCTGTGGATGTGGAATTAAATTACTTTTGCATCGAATGTTGAATTACATGCTTCCTGTTAGAAACAAAGAATATAAAGGAATAGAAAACAAAATCAGTGTTTCATGGTCAAAATCAGTCTTTTAGGTGTTTTCAGTTTCCCACGTTGTCATGACCTGTTTTTTTCTTCATTATTCCTGAGTGCCCAGCCCATCAGGAATAGTCTTGCTCGAAGACTTTTATTGTTCCCTCCCTCTGCTTTGATGTGCAGTTGTGACAAGGGATTTGTATGAAATTGTTTCTTACTGGTCCTCATCTCTGACTCCTCAGAACCTTGCCTCCTGGAACCCTTCAAACCCCGAGTGCCTCCTGCTTGTGGTGAAGGAGCTGGTGCAGCAGTACCATCAGTTTCAATGCAGCCGCCTCCGCGAGAGCTCGCGCCTCATGTTTGAGTACCAGACACTCCTGGAAGAGCCTCAGTATGGAGAGAACATGGAAATTTATGCTGGGAAGAAAAACAACTGGGTAAGTGCTGAGAGATAGGGGACGTTACTTTGTGATGAAACTAAAGACAAGATCTTTAGAATGTCCGTGTGGATTGAGCTCTTAACTCTTTCCTCAGATACATGGCTTCGGCCACCTGTGCACTTTCTCATGAGAGAACTTAATAGTGATCAGGCTTATTATTTGTAAAGAATATTATAGGAGAAGTGTGCAAAATTTGGCTACATCCCCAGTCTCCTATGTCAGAAGGCAGGGAGAGAGAGAGAGAGGACCGCCTATGCTCTACACCTCCGTGCAGGTCCTAATGTGGTTGGCAAGCATGCCTCCGTTTAAGACACTGACAGATTCCACCTTCTGCTCAGGGAGTGACCTAAGAGGGGTCAGCTGCTCTGGATGCAGCGGGTTATGGAGCCTTCATGTGCCCCCTCAACCCTTCTGGTTTTTTTTTTTTTTTAATTGTTAAGCGTTATATAAAATGCACATAGTATAGAATATACTGCATTTGCCTTTTAGCAGGAATAAATGGCTATCGCTGAGTAATTTTTTTCATCCAGGAAAATGCTACTCCTCCTTCTTTTTGAGTTCTTTTTGGTTTTTCAAGGCAAGGTTTCTCTGTGTAACTTTGGAGCCTTCCAAGTGCTGGGATTAAAGGCATGTGCCACCACTATCTGGCGGAAAATGCTTCCTTAATCAGTGCCTCTAAGCCCTTGTTAACAACCCTTTCCTTAAAGACAAGGTCTCCTTATATAGCTCCGAGTTACCTAGAACTTGCTGCACAGCCCAGTCGGCTTTAGCTCAGAGTCCTTTCATCTCTCCTTCCTGAGTGTTGGGATCACAGGGGTGCCCGCCATGGCCAGCTCTAGTTGCTGCTTATAATTTCATTGCATTGCGTGATCATTTTGAGATGCAAAGCAGATTATACCCCTTCTATGCCCAGAGCTTCATATACTTCACTCCCCCACCCCAGGTAAAAGCTGCAATCCATCTCCCCAGGGATAGCATGAACTCTGGGTGCTGTGATGCCTCCTTCCTTCCGGATCTGCTTACTTTCTCTTCTACTTCATCATCCTGGGCTCCAGCCATACTGCACCTCTGCACCGTGCAGGCATATCCAGCATGCTCCTTCCCAAGGCGCTTTGCATAAGTGTCTGTGTCTGTTTTTCCCTGGGAATAGTGAGCACCCTTCCTACTTCAGATTTCTGCTAACGTATTTTCAATGATGTCCTGCCTGCCTCATTTTTAAAAATTATTTTTTGAGATAGATTTCATAAAGTTTGCACATTTTAATTGTATAAATCTATGATTATCAGTCATTTGACTGATTTCCACAGCCCCCATCATGATCTAGAATGCTTCTATCACCCTCCTGTAAGGTCCTTCATGTTCAGTGGACTGCTGATCTGAGGGCCTCAGTTGGTGCTAGCTGGTGCCTGGAACCTGCCTCTTCCTCTATAGGGCTTCTCCATTGTGGGTCTCCTAAGCTGGCAGGCGGCCTAAGCACAGCAAGCAAACAGGAGAGATGAGAGTGTATAAGCAAGACACTGGTCTTTTACAACCTAATCACTTGGCTGATGCCCATCACTTCTTATTGTATGTTAGTTCCAGCCCCCACACATGTAAGTGTGAACTCCAGGATGGCTGTGGACCACCTTGGGAAGGCTGCCATACTTAAGGCTTGTTTGTCTTTCCCTATTGGCATGCCAGGTTTCAGGGCAGGGACCGACACAGCCCACACCGGGAACAGTGCCCGCTGCATCACTGGTGTTCTGCGTATGTTTCCTGAAAGGACGAGTGAGTGAATCCTAGTGACACATAGAACACATTTACGTGTTCTTCTCTTGCTAATTTTATTAGTTTTCACCAAGCCTTTCTTTTCTTAAGTTCAATATGTTTGCCCTTGGAGTCTTTAACTTTTTCCTAAGGGATGTAATTCCAAAGTCATACAAATGAGCAATGCATTTTTAAAAATTTCAAACAAATCTTCCTGTTTGAACATACTTAACAGTTCGAAGCTTTTTCTTACTAAAAAATTCACTTAATTGTCCTCTAAGGAAAGGATGCTAAGTTTAATCCATCTTGACTTCTTGGTGAGTCTGTGTTGTCTTTAATAGTGTGAGACTCATTTTAAAGTGGGAATTACTGTTCAGTTATAATTTCTATGATTTTGTTTCTCACCTTTTGTGTGTTTCTGTGTCTGTGTGCATGTGTGTTTGTATATGTGTATATGCGAGTCTGTATGTGTGTGCATGCTTCTGTGTATGTGTGTATATGTGAGTCTGTATATGTGTGTGTGTGTACACATGCAGTTAAATGTGTCTCGCTGTGTGTGTATGTGTGTGTGCGTGTGGCGGCCAGAGGACAGATTTACGTGTTGTTTTTAGGTGCTGTCCACTTTTTTTTTGGGGGGGGGATCTACCAGCTGCCTAGTGAGCTCCTGCGATATGCTTGTCTCTGCCTTCCAGCAGTGGGATTACAGACATAACACCCACATGCCCACATGCCTTTTATTTTTTTTAACCTTGGTTCTGAGGATTGACTTTAGATCCTTATACTTGCAAGACCAGCTCTCTGTCCCTGGGATCCCGCCCTTTGCATATGCAGTCTGAAGTGAAATGTACTCCTTTTTTACAATTTCAGGATTTTTCCCATTTCTTGACTTTCCTTCACCTGTGTGTAGAAGTGTAGATCCATTTAAAGCAGATGGTGTTGATGGCTTTTCAGAATCTTCCTAGCTGATGTCACTGATTTACTGATGACATTATGCTAGCGCTGTGTTCAACCCCTTTACTCTGATGTTGGAGTGACTCTGATCCTTTCTGACTCAGTCACTTGTATTACAGTGAGTAAAGCCCCCAAGACTACTACTAGGCAGAAGGAGTTAATGCAAGCTACAGTATTGAGGCTCAGTGATTTAGAGGAGTGAGAATATAGAAAGACATGTATCTGGACAGGAGTTAGCCTCCAAGCAAGCACTGAAGAGCTAGGATGTGGAGGTGAGCCTTGAGGGATGGACAAATGAGAGCTCGGCACCGGGTCTCAGGGATACACTGAAGGACAGCCTGCCCTCGCAGTCCCTGCTAGCCCAGGGCTAGAAGATTAATATGAACTCTGCAAGAAAGAAAGAGCTTGATTTTAAATCAACATGTTTTAAATCAAGAACTGGATTAGCTTGTTACTACTGCTATAAATGCACTGTGATCTTGGGAGTGTAAGACAACCTAGCCATGGTCGCTTGGAGTCCCAGGGGTCAAGCAATGAGAATGGGTCTATCTGCCCAAGATCAAGGAATGTACAGCAGTGTGCCTGGAGGAGGCTTCAGGGGAGAACCGGCAGGCCTCCACTTGCAGACGTTTTCTCTGAGAAATCATGGGATTTCTCACGTCAAATCATGGATTTCACAGATGAATTTCTCCTCTCCCTTAGGATTTTTCCTTTGTATATGTGGTATATATGCAGGGATGTATGTGCATATGTGTACACGTGAATGAGGAGGACAAAGATTGATGTGGGTGTCTTCACCTTATATATCAAGGCATGGTATCTTGCTAAACTCAAAATTTCCATGTCAGCTGGTCTAAGGCGTGAGTTTGCTCTGGGATCCACGTCTTCATGCCCTCCAGCATCTTGAGGACTATCACGAGGCTTTTCCTTCAAACCTGTCCTGTTCAGTAATTTCTTTGAGACCTGAATGAAGTCACACAAGGCACGCATTTCTGTCCTGAGAACGTGGAACTTGATGCACACACTACCTTGAGGTTGAGTCCTGCTCTTCTTTACTGTCACAGTAAGGGGCTCTACTCTTAGCTGCTGTTTCCCCTTGCTGTAAAACATAGATAAATGAGTTATGTCTATTGAACACAGTTTGGGGGTCAGTAATATATCTTAAGAATATCTTTTAGAGTTTGATAGTCTAATAAGTCTAACCTTGACTATCTTTTTTTAACTTGTATTGTGTATTTATATTGTTTCCAAAGATCAGTGAAACAACCTTCAGACTAGTTGTTTGCCAGTCTTAAGAATCACCCCTACCACATTGTCACAGATGAAATTAGAGTCACCTTTCCCCAGTTCTTAGCCTTTACTTCTCTGAGTGGCACTAGTCAATTTCAGATGAAACCTTATTTGTGGATAAGGAAACAGTTCCTAAGACAGGAAGGAGGATTCCCTGAGGCAGAACGACCTGATTGGACTCTGTTTAGCACAAGATGTCTACCTGTCACTTCCCAATGACACAGGAACTGTGGGATAGCTGGCATGAGGGAGAGGAGCTCAACTCGAGTCTTGTTGGCTGGAGCCATTGCCTGCATCCTCTCACATAAGAGGAGGACACACATATTCATGGGGACAGTGATGCTGTTGCTGATGCCGGGGACAGTGCCATTAAGGCAGTTGGCAGGAAGACTAACATTTTCACAGTCATAGGTCAGGTAATTTTCTATGCCTGTCCAAGAAGAGGTCTAACCAAGGACTGATGGAAAAAATTCAAACTATTCTGTTCACTTGACTGCATCTAAATGTCTCATTTACAGCTTCCAGGAAGGCATGCTGTAGAAGTTATCTCTGACGATACTACAGCGACCGCAAATCAAATATAGAGAAGTCATTGTATATGGTTGAGCAATGATTGTGTGTGTGAATATGAGTGTGTGTTTGCACATGCACAGTTGAATTTTTCTCTCATTGTGTGTCTGTAATTTCAGTTACACAAAGACATGTTTGCTCAGTTTTGCAAAGGAAGGGCCTTTTACAGATCATAGGAGAGTCGGTTTCAGCTAGCGACAGGATTTGTGAGCCTTTGTTTCTAGAATTCCCAGTGCTTTAGAGATAAGTGCCGAGCTTCTTGTGCTAGCATTTAATGTTTCTGCAGTCCTGGGGATGAATGTGGGGCCTGTACGTTCTAGACCATCCTGCTGCCAAGTGCATCTCCAGCCTGAGTTCACCTTATTCCTTCAGGGCCTAAGGAGTGTGCAGTGGGCGCTGGGTTAAGCAGCACATCTACTCAAACTGGAACTAGAGAGAAGATGAGCATGGCTCCTATGCAAGGATGGCATGTGAATTCACGAAGCATTCCGTATTTTTTAAATGTCACAGTGAAACCCATTAGCTTGTATAATTAATATGTGCTGATAGAATGTTTTTTAGAAAGAAGGTATGGTAGGCTTGAAAGCTGGAGATCATAAATAACCTTTTCTTTCCCAGGAGAACAAATTCCCTTCCTGTCATGAGTCTCTTTCATGCTGACTTTGTTTCATTTCTTAGACCATTGCAGATAAACTCAAATTCATATTGTGCCTCTAGTGTGTCAGTCAACCCTTGCCAACAAACACACATGCGTGTCAGTTCTAAGGGCAGCAGTTTGAGAAAGGATAAAGTAAGGGTCATTGGAGAGGTTTTATCTTTTTTCTTTTTCTTTTTCTTTCTTTTTTTTTAGTTTGGTCTAAAATAGTAGAATAAAAATATATTGTATAAACTAGGAGGGCAAAAGCTAAAATGTAGTATGTGGACAAAAATAACTTGTAGTTCACTTGAGTCCAAATGCTTAATATGTAATTATTTTTTGTTACCTTATATGGGCAAAAGTTCTTATGATTTTTTAAATCCCACATTTTATTTCTTATATTGCTTTTTAAAATACATATGTGTGTATACAAATACATACATACACATAAGCCACCAGATTTAACAAATGAAAGACTTTGAAATTACCATTTCAACTAGAGACTAACTTTTTTTTTACTAGCTGTTAAATGTTTATGTATTGCTAGGCAGTTTGCCTTTGAAAATGAAGACTGAAGAGGTTGAATTTGATTTACCATCTCTCCAACTTTCCCAATTTCTAGGAATCCCATGGCTCTTTTAAACTCCAGTCCCCAAATGACTTAAGTATTCCTCATGATCACAGTGGTCACTTTTGTATTCATGGCTTCCGTGGATGAGTATTGTATATCCCGCAGGAGTTAGAAATGTTTCTCACCATGGAGGAGAGTTTCTGTGGACCATGGGTCAGTCTCCTGCTTATGTGTCCCTGAAATCCTCAATACCTTGCTCTTCCCTGTGCACAGTCATCCACTATTGCTCTTCAGGATACCTGGCTGTCTTGCTCAGATGTTCCCTTGTCACCTTCCTCTGTAAATGAGTCCATCTCCACAGTCTGAGGATTTCAAACAAGAAGCGTCATGCTCTGTCCACGTGTTGGGAAGAAAATGACCTGCAGCTGAAAAGAGATGAGACAGTCAGGGACAATGGCAGTGTCTAGTCTAGAGGTCACATAGCTCCCTCCAGGTGGTAGCAGGTGCCAGAGGACGTGAGAAGTGGCTGCACGCTATCAGTAGCGTGTGTTTCCACTGACTGTGAGGCAAGAGAGAAAACTAGAAGTCCGGTGATTGTGGATTTTTGGGTTTTTAGTCTGAAAGGATAGTAGAATTTCTGTTTATTGCAATGAGGAATAAATATCAAGGAAAGAATACAAAATTGGGATTTTTTGGTATTGTAAAATAAATTTGATCGGATACAAGGGGACTGATCGAATGAGAGCTCACCAAGACCAGCTGGACTGGGACTGAACGAGCATGTGATCAAACCGGAGTCTCTAAATGTGACTGACATGGGGGCTGACTGAGAAGCCATTGTCAATGGCACTGGGTCTTGTTTTGTCTGCATGTACTAGCTTTCTGGGATCCTAGTCTGTTTGGATGCTCACCTTCCTAGACCTGGAGGGAGAGGGGAGGAACTTGAACTTCCCACAGGGCAGGAAACCCTGACTGCTCTTAGGACTGGAGAGGAAGGAGGGGTGGGAGTTAGGGGGGGAGGAGAGGGACTGGGGAGAATGGGAGGGTAGGGGGAGAAGGGGAGGAAGTGGAAATTTTTATAAACAAATAAATTAATTAATAAAAAATTGAGTTAGGAGAATGTCTGGGGAGGAGCAAGGGCATTTGGAAGCCATTGGTGTATAAATATTATTTAAGGTCGTGAGCTTGTATGAGATCTCCTGGTGGGTGTGACCAAGCTAAGAGATCTTGGAGTTGATCCCAGGCATGCTCCATTGTTTCAGCCCTGTTAGAGTTCGGCTAACTGGACACTGAGACGAAGACAGAAATGACTATGGGGTTTGGCAATGGGGACGCCATTGATGACTTTGCAAGAGCTATTTTGGTGGAGTGATGGAGGAAGAAGGGTTTAATAGAGAGCATGACAAGAGAGAAAATGCAGAGCTCAAATAGACCCTCCCCAGGAAGATTTTGTAACATGGAACAAAGAATAAGATGGGAGCTTTCCAAGGGAGTGAGATAAAAGAAGGGATCCTTTAAGATGATGCTTGCTTGCTGATAGGTGAGAGCAGACAGGGAGCCTGATTTTACAGGGGAAAGAGAAGAGGGTCAGTTAGGAGCATGGGTTCTTGGCTGTTTCTATGTAATCATTTACCACTCAGCCTTTTATACTTCTCTGTCTCTTCTGAAATGATCCATGAACCCTAGGAGGAAGGGATTATGATCTGGATGTCCTGTTAAGGGATGGGTATTCTAAAAATCTTTTATTCTCTGTACCTTGACCAGTTGTGGATCTCTTGTTACTTACCATTTTTATAAATACAAGCTTCTCTAATAAGAGATGAAAGGTGCATTAATCTGTGTTTCTAATCCAAGTGAATGACTAGAGTAAGAGCCATTCTCTGAAGCTGTTTTAGATCGTCTATGGTTTTGTTGTTGTTGTTTGTTTGTTTTGTCAGACATGTATTGGAATTCATTGTGTCAAAATCCCAAGCCACACTGTATGCTCGCAGTGAGAGAGGGTGGAAAACTCAGGACCCTACCAGCTTTGCCAGCGGCTTTGCTGCCTTTGCATAGGTCCTTGGAACCCCTAGGTCACTGAGTAGTGTGCTCAAAGTAGAAAAAGACAAGATCTGAGTAAATTGGAAGTGTGGCTGTCACGGGAGATGGTAGAAGGGGACAGGAGAGGAAGGGAGGGGAGTGGAGAAAAATGTATAGCGCAATAAAAAACAATAGAAAAAAAAAAGAAAGGAAAAGGACTTACCTTTTCTTTTACCAGGGCGTGAGGTCCTGGCAAAACATATACACACAGGAATTAATACGATCCGCTCTCTAAACAACATCAGATGAAGAAGGTGGAGTTATTATTGTAGATTAAGTGTTTTAAATTTCCAATTCTATGTATCTTTCTCACGTGGATTGTAGAGGAAAGTACTGAAAACATTAGTTGATAATAATACTAATGAACTTTCCAAAGATTGAAAACTTATCTGGATTTACATTGATGTATTGCTTTACATGAGTGGGGTTGGTCTTTGTATGGGCTTCCATAGGTAACAGCTATAACGGCCGTCTGCATACATGATGATAAGTTATGAAATCAGTGAGGTGGTATGCATGCTTAGTAAAGCAAATGAGTCTAAGGGCTGGATTGGTCTCTTCCTGTTTCAGGCTTTTGAAAAATTATATTCATTCATGTATTTTTTTCACAGTTTTAAAAAATGCAGTACTACTTTAAAATTTTATCGTGCAATAAAATACAGACTTTGACATTGAAACTATGCTCTTTTAATAATTCAAGAATTCTTTTTAATCCTCCTTTTTAATTCTTTCCCACCTTACTTTTCTGCCCTATGTTAGGAAACCCTAATTGCTGTTGTCCTCATATTGAAATAGTTGAGATTTTTTTTCTTGGTTGTAATTGTTATTTCTCAACTTGTTTTATATTTTAATCTTTTTTTCCCCCTGCAGACTGGTGAATTTTCAGCTCGTTTCCTATTGAAGTTACCAGTAGATTTCAGCAACATTCCCACATACCTTCTCAAGGTAAAAATATACAATTATCATTAAGAGAATGCAAATCAAACTTTAATCATTTAGCTCAATATTTGTATAACTGGTTTGTTCATTTTTTGTTCTAATGTTGAGTTTTGACGCTTATTGCAGGAATTCTGTTTCCGTCGCTAAAGCACTAACCTTTGCAAGGTAGTTATGTATTAGTAGTATAAATAAATTACACTCAGGAAAATCATTTTCGCCTAGTAATCTTACTGGGATGAAAGACTCATAGAACTTGTCCAAGGCATCCTGCATATTGAACATGTTCACTAAAGGGCATTTCATCTTCTTTATGTCCGCAGTTGAACTCAGGCGCCCTTCAAGTTGGGGCTGTTCCAGAGATTCATCAGTATATATGGTGTTCTCTAAAATGGGAAAGATGCCTTGGGAACAACTATTTGGGAAGGGGTGCATGCCTCGCAGAGATGGGGTGGGCTCCAAAGGACTAGTTTCTGACTAGTGAAAGGAGCCACACCGATCAAAGAACAAGTTCTGAGAAGGAAACACCGAGCCAGAGGCCCCGGTTCAGCTCCGACGAGGATTTGACGGACTGCCCTCCACTCTTGTTTCAATCTGTGCTTATTTCAGTTCAGTTTCATCTTAGAAAGTTTCCACCTTCTTCATCTGATGTTGTTTAGAGAGCGGATCGTATTTATAACTGTTGAGGGGAGAAACAAAACCCATGCACAAGTCTCCCCACACATTGTAGAAAGCAGCAACGTCAGCCAGGACTCTTGAGAATGGCTGGAAGAATATCGGCTGGAACAATAGAAGAGACTGGGAAGGCTAGGCGGTGGTGACACGTACTGTAATCCTAGCGTCGATGGCAGAGACAGGCAGATCCCTATGAGTTCAAGTCAGCCTGGTCTATATAGTGAGCTCCAGGACAGCCAGGACTACATAGCGAGTTACAGTTCAGCCAAAGGCTGTATACTGAGACTGTCACAAATAAACAAACAGACAACTAGGGAACTTTTTGTTTGTTTTTTTCTTTGTAACATTCCCATTTCTTCCTCTACACCCTGTCACCTACCCCTCCCCACTTTACTTCAAATTTACTGTCTTTAAAAAAAATGTTATTGTATGCATATCTGTATAAACACACATAAATATATATTCCTAAATATAACGCGTTTAGTCCATATAATAGCACCTGTAAGCATGTTTTCAGGGCTGGCTGTCAGCTGATGTCCTCTTCTGGAGAAGGCCATCTTTCTTGTTCCCAGCTTTCCTCAGTTGCCTATAGTTTTTTGTGTAGTGTTGAAACCTCATGACATTTTGTCTCCTGGTAGTATCAGAAGCTACACCCCAAAAACCTTTTCTGTTTTTTGAGACAGGGTTTCATTGCATAACACTGGCTGCCCTGGCAATCAATATGTATAGATCAGACTGGCTTTGAACTCAAGAGAAATCTACCTGCCTCTGCTTCCCAAGTACTGAGATTAAATGTGTATGATGCCACACCTAAGTACTCATTCTCTCTATGAGGGGAAAATTATTTTATTTTCCTTTAAATAAATAAGGGATTTTTCTTTGGTGGAACATCAACTTTTTAGTTTCCAGTGGACTAGTTTTCTCTTAGTATCTAGTTGTGAAGTTCAAATGAAACTGGAGGTCAATCAGTGGTTTGTCAGTCTCTCTAGAACCTTTGATTGGGATTGAATCCATGATTACCGTGTGTAATTTTTTGGTTCCAGCAATCATTATGCTCTCCTATTATAGCAGGAAGTCTCCTTGGGAACCTGTGTATACTGTGGTGTCCTTCTTCAGTTTTTCCAGCTAAAACTCCCGTCAGCTCCTTTAAAACCAAATCCAACAGTATATATGGTTCAGTATTCATATAATCACACTAATCCCCATTTAGTGACTGTGCATTTGCTCCGATGCTTTGGGCCTGGTCCTTTGAGAAGGCTTTCTGAGTGACTGTTGTCTGTGCTCGTATTCTTAAGGTCTGCAGTCGTAAGTGCCTGGATTTCTGTTTTCTATTGTGATAAGTCTCATATATGCCTTGCCTCCTCTGGTTTCCCTATCAGCCAGAGAAGAGAAAGGTGGAACATATTAGCCAAAATAGGGAAGTGCTTTTTTGTTTTTCCTCCTCGAATTACTCTGAAGTAATTTGTGTGCTAAAGATAAAATGTCTGCATGTCCACACTACTGTCATTTTGGATCTTTAGTTTACGCAAAAAAGAAAAACAACAAGAATAAAACAGGAAAATTTGTGCAAACCAAACCACAGCAAAACAATGACATGAAAGCACACGTACAGCAACAAGCAAGCAAACAAGGCCAGTCCCAGACTTGGTGCAGAGTACGTGTTGGGGGCTTTAAGATCGGTTGTATCACAACCTTCAAACATTTGGCTATGCTTTTAAAAAAGAGATTTATTTATTTTACTTTATATGTAAAAATATGCCTGATGCCCGTAGAGATCAGAAGAGGGCATTGGATCCCCTGGAACTGGAGTTAGGGATAAGTGTGAACTACCATGTGAATGTTAGGAGTCAGACCCAGTTCCTCTTCAAGAGCAGCAAGGGCTCTTACCAACTGAGCCATCTCTCCAGCCCCTTGCTGTGCCCTTCGGAGAACATTTGCTTTACATGCTGCTTGTATTTAGATATTCTCCACTGTAGTATTTAGGGTTTCTATTTCTGTGAAGAGACACCATGACCACAGCAACTCTTGTAAAGGAAAACATTTAATTGGGGCTGGTTTGCAGTTTCAGAGATTTAGTCCATAATCATCTTGGCGAGAAGCTTAGCAGCATATGGGTAGACTTGGTGCTAGAGAAAGAGCTGAGAGTTCTCCATCTTGATCCATGGACCACAGGAAGTGAATTGTATTCCACACTTGGCCTAATCTGAGCATATAAAACCTCTAAGACTGCCTCTATAGTGACACACTTCCTACTCCAACAGAGCCACGCCTCCTAATAGTGCTGTCTCTATGGATCAAACATTCAAGCACATGAGTCCGTGGGGGGCCTTACCTATTCAAACTACCATACCCACCTAATTTCTAGATCTGTAACTGTTTCTGTCGGTATACAAATAAAGTTAACTCCTTCAACTCCTAGGTTAGGGCATGCTTTGTCATGATCAAAGCAGTTCACCTCACTTTGCCTAGCAGTTGGATGGTGAAGCAGATCTTGTAAATTTTGAGATTGCATGGGGTTTGTCGTAACACCCTGCAAATTTGTTGCAATGAGCCCCATTGCATTATGGTAACTCACCATCTATTCTTAAAGTTCTTATTACTAATTATACCAAGTGTACTTACTAATAATTCTTTGATGTTAGGATGAACAATTTAATAAATATTCAATGGTATGATTTTACTTTATAAGTGGATAAGGTTCTTAAAATGAAGCCTAACTTCAGGCCCTGAACTTTACTTTTGGTTGAGCTAAATCAAAGACTTAGATATATAAATTACTTATATGAAAACTCATTCAGTAGAAAAATAATTTTCCAGTCACTACTCTTTATTTCCAGATGATACAAATTCAGCACAAACTTGTGGAAACCAAAGGGGCAATGTACAATGATTCTGCTTCTGTAGTGCATCGCACAGCAGCAAAACTGACCCTGTGCCTCGTAGACTGTAGATCAAGAAGCCTGACCTCTCCAAGTGTGCTCCTCTTGCGCTCAGTTCTGTACCCCACCTGGTGGATTTCTCATTAGAACAGCTGGGAGGGTCCAAGTGCGCTCATTCACTGCGATACTTAACAAAGAGAGGGTATTTTGTAATTATGTGAGTTGACCCTGCAGAGCCTCAGGTTCCAGGAATTTAACCAAGCATCCATGAAATATTTGTGAAAAAGTGCACCTCCACTGAATGTGTGCAGGCGGCTTGGGGAGGGTTGTTATTATTCCATGATGTGATATAGCAGTTATTAGTAAAACATTTACGTGGTACTAGATATTTGAAGTCTGTGCTGGATGCACATAGGTTCTATGCAAATTCTATCATTTTCTATGAAGAACCTAAGCACCAGGAAGATTTTGGCATCCATGAGGAGTTATGGAACCAGTCAGCAGAGCTAGCCAAGGATGACTGGTCTCTTCCTTGTAGGAGAGATGTAATAATTAGAAGACATGGTTCTTAATTTTGTTAGAGTCAAAACTGGCTTCTATATTCCCATCTTTATTCTTTGTTCTGTGAAATACTAAACCTAACAATATATGCTAAGAACATTCTGTCTTTTTTTTCTTCTGTTTTCCTAAAAACCATACTCTGTATTGAGGGGAAAAATTCTAATTTTTCCACTAAATTTTTTGTCATCTAAATAAGAAATACTCAAAAACTAAAAATATAATACTTTTGAGGGGGGAAAGAAGTTTGTTGACATGATATGTATGATTATTTGAATTGGCATTTTTAAATTAATGAGCCAGATTTATACAGACTGTACCGAAGCTAAAGTCCTATTGGTGGGACTCTCTTTAGTTATATTGTAAAACAATACATTGGACGCTGTCAAACATCGCTGAACTGGAAGGTGAAGTAGCAATTACTTCCTGCTGGTAGTGTTTCTTGTTCCTCTTCTGCTGTGGTGAGACACCACAGCCTAAAGCAGTTTGTGGGGGAGAAGGTTTATTTGGCGTTCGTGTGCTGAATCATAATCTGTTGAGGGAAGCCAAGTTCAAAATCAAGCAGGGCAGGAGCTGATGCAGAGACCATAGAGGATGCTGCTTACTGGCTTGTTCCTCATGGCTTGCTCGCTCTGCTTTCTTATAGAACCCAGGACCTCCAGCTCAGGGGTAGCCCTACCCACAATAGGTTGGGCCCTTCCCCATCAATTACTAATTATAAAAATGCTTCACAGGTTTATCTGCTTCTAGCCCATTCTTCTGGAAACATTTTCGCTATTGAGGCTTCCTCTTCTCTGATGATTTTAGTTTATGTCAAGTTGACATTAGACTAGTCAGCTCATAGTGCATATGATTAACATAACCTTGCAAAAAATATCAACAGCAACTTTTTCTTGG